ATGTTGTTTGGTGAGGTTAAGTGTGTGGGTTGGTGAGATGTTTGGTGAGGTTTAGTGTGTGGGTAGGTGAGATGTTGTTTGGTGAGGTTTAGTGTGTGGGTTGGTGAGATGATGTTTGGTGAGGTTAAGTGTGTGGGTTGGTGAGATGGTGTTTGGTGAGGTTTAGTGTGTGGGTTGGTGAGATGACGTTTGGTGAGGTTAAGTGTGTGGGTTGGTGAGATTGTGTTTGGTGAGGTTTAGTGTGTGGGTAGGTGAGATGTTGTTTGGTGAGGTTTAGTGTGTGGGTTGGTGAGATGTTGTTTGGTGAGGTTTAGTGTGTGGGCTGGTGAGATGTTGTTTGGTGAGGTTTAGTGTGTGGGTTGGTGAGATGTTGTTTGGTGAGGTTTAGTGTGTGGGCTGGTGAGATGTTGTTTGGTGAGGTTTAGTGTGTGGGTTGGTGAGATGTTGTTTGGTGAGGTTTAGTGTGTGGGTTGGTGAGATGATGTTTGGTGAGGTTAAGTGTGTGGGTTGGTGAGATGGTGTTTGGTGAGGTTTAGTGTGTGGGTAGGTGAGATGTTGTTTGGTGAGGTTTAGTGTGTGGGTTGGTGAGATGGTGTTTGGTGAGGTTTAGTGTGTGGGTAGGTGATATGTTGTTTGGTGAGGTTTAGTGTGTGGGTTGGTGAGATGTTTGGTGAGGTTTAGTGTGTGGGTTGGTGAGATGTTGTTTGGTGAGGTTTAGTGTTTGGGTTGGTGAGATGTTGTTTGGTGAGGTTTAGTGTGTTGGTTGGTGAGATGTTGTTTGGTGAGGTTTAGTGTGTGGGTTGGTGAGATGTTGTTTGGTGAGGTTTAGTGTGTGGGTTGGTGAGATGTTTGGTGAGGTTTAGTGTGTGGGTTGGTGATATGTTGTTTGGTGAGGTTTAGTGTGTGGGTTGGTGAGATGATGTTTGGTGAGGTTAAGTGTGTGGGTTGGTGAGATGGTGTTTGGTGAGGTTTAGTGTGTAAGTAGGTGAGATGTTGTTTGGTGAGGTTTAGTGTGTGGGTTGGTGAGATGGTGTTTGGTGAGGTTTAGTGTGTGGGTAGGTGATATGTTGTTTGGTGAGGTTTAGTGTGTGGGTTGGTGAGATGTTTGGTGAGGTTTAGTGTGTGGGTTGGTGAGATGTTGTTTGGTGAGGTTTAGTGTGTGGGTTGGTGAGATGTTGTTTGGTGAGGTTTAGTGTGTGGGTTTGTGATATGTTGTTTGGTGAGGTTTAGTGTGTGGGTTGGTGAGATGTTTGGTGAGGTTTAGTGTGTGGGTTGGTGAGATGTTGTTTGGTTAGGTTTTGTGTGTGGGTTGGTGAGATGTTTGGTGAGGTTTAGTGTGTGGGTTGGTGAGATGTTGTTTGGTGAGGTTTAGTGTGTTGGTTGGTGAGATGTTTGGTGAGGTTTAGTGTGTGGGTAGGTGAGATGTTGTTTGGTTAGGTTTTGTGTGTGGGTTGGTGAGATGTTGTTTGGTGAGGTTAAGTGTGTGGGTTGGTGAGATGTTGTTTGGTGAGGTTAAGTGTGTGGGTTGGTGAGAGGTTGTTTGGTGAGGTTAAGTGTGTGGGTTGGTGAGATGTCGTTTGGTTAGGTTTTGTGTGTGGGTTGGTGAGATGTTGTTTGGTGAGGTTAAGTGTGTGGGTTGGTGAGATGTTGTTTGGTGAGGTTAAGTGTGTGGGTTGGTGAGATGTCGTTTTGTTAGGTTTTGTGTGTGGGTTGGTGAGATGTTGTTTTGTGAGGTTAAGTGTGTGGGTTGGTGAGATGTTGTTTGGTGAGGTTAAGTGTGTGGGTTGGTGAGATGGTGTTTGGTGAGGTTTAGTGTGTGGGTTGGTGAAATGTTTTTTAGGTTTAGTGTGTTGGTTGGTGAGATGGTGTTTGGTGAGGTTTAGTGTGTGGGTTGGTGAGATGTTTGGTGAGGTTAAGTGTGTGGGTTGGTGAGATGTTTGGTGAGGTTTAGTGTGTGGGTTGGTGAGATGTTTGGTGAGGTTAAGTGTGTGGGTTGGTGAGATGGTGTTTGGTGAGGTTTAGTGTGTGGGTAGGTGAGATGTTTGGTGAGGTTTAGAGTGTGGGTTGGAGAGATGGTGTTTTGTGAGGTTTAGTGTGTGGGTTGGTGAGATGGTGTTTTGTGAGGTTTAGTGTGTGGGCTGGTGAGATGTTGTTTGGTGAGGTTTAGAGTGTGGGTTGGAGAGATGGTGTTTTGTGAGGTTTAGTGTGTGGGTTGGTGAGATGGTGTTTTGTGAGGTTTAGTGTGTGGGCTGGTGAGATGTTGTTTGGTGAGGTTAAGTGTGTGGGTTGGTGAGATGGTGTTTGGTGAGGTTTAGTGTGTGGGTTGGTGAGATGGTGTTTTGTGAGGTTTAGTGTGTGGGTTGGTGAGATGGTGTTTTGTGAGGTTTAGTGTGTGGGCTGGTGAGATGTTGTTTGGTGAGGTTAAGTGTGTGGGCTGGTGAGATGTTGTTTGGTGAGGTTTAGTGTGTGGGTTGGTGAAATGTTTTTTAGGTTTAGTGTGTTGGTTGGTGAGATGGTGTTTGGTGAGGTTTAGTGTGTGGGTTGGTGAGATGTTTGGTGAGGTTTAGAGTGTGGGTTGGAGAGATGGTGTTTTTTGAGGTTTAGTGTGTGGGTTGGTGAGATGGTGTTTTGTGAGGTTTAGTGTGTGGGTTGGTGAGATGTTGTTTGGTGAGGTTTAGTGTGTGGGTTGGTGAGATGTTTGGTGAGGTTTAGTGTGTGGGTTGGTGAGATGTTGTTTGGTGAGGTTTAGTGTGTGGGTTGGTGAGATGTTTGGTGAGGTTTAGTGTGTGGGTAGGTGAGATGTTGTTTGGTGAGGTTTAGTGTGTGGGTTGGTGAGATGTTGTTTGGTGAGGTTTAGTGTGTGGGTTGGTGAGATGTTGTTTGGTGAGGTTTAGTGTGTGGGTTGGTGAGATGTTGTTTGGTGAGGTTTAGTGTGTGGGTTGGTGAGATGTTTGGTGAGGTTTAGTGTGTGGGTTGGTGAAATGTTTTTTAGGTTTAGTGTGTTGGTTGGTGAGATGGTGTTTGGTGAGGTTTAGTGTGTGGGTTGGTGAGATGTTTGGTGAGGTTTAGAGTGTGGGTTGGAGAGATGGTGTTTTTTGAGGTTTAGTGTGTGGGTTGGTGAGATGGTGTTTTGTGAGGTTTAGTGTGTGGGTTGGTGAGATGTTGTTTGGTGAGGTTTAGTGTGTGGGTTGGTGAGATGTTTGGTGAGGTTAAGTGTGTGGGTTGGTGAGATGTTTGGTGAGGTTAAGTGTGTGGGTTGGTGAGATGTTTGGTGAGGTTAAGTGTGTGGGTTGGTGAGATGTTTGGTGAGGTTAAGTGTGTGGGTTGGTGAGATGTTTGGTGAGGTTTAGTGTGTGGGTTGGTGAGATGTTGTTTGGTGAGGTTAAGTGTGTGGGTTGGTGAGATGTTGTTTGGTGAGGTTAAGTGTGTGGGTTGGTGAGATGGTGTTTGGTGAGGTTTAGTGTGTGGGTTGGTGAGATGTTGTTTGGTGAGGTTAAGTGTGTGGGTTGGTGAGATGTTGTTTGGTGAGGTTAAGTGTGTGGGTTGGTGAGATGTTTGGTGAGGTTAAGTGTGTGGGTTGGTGAGATGTTTGGTGAGGTTTAGTGTGTGGGTTGGTGAGATGTTTGGTGAGGTTTAGTGTGTGGGTTGGTGAGATGTTTGGTGAGGTTTAGTGTGTGGGTTGGTGAGATGTTGTTTGGTGAGGTTAAGTGTGTGGGTTGGTGAGATGTTGTTTGGTGAGGTTTAGTGTGTGGGTTGGTGAGATGTTTGGTGAGGTTTAGTGTGTGGGTTGGTGAGATGTTGTTTGGTGAGGTTAAGTGTGTGGGTTGGTGAGATGTTTGGTGAGGTTAAGTGTGTGGGTTGGTGAGATGTTGTTTGGTGAGGTTAAGTGTGTGGGTTGGTGAGATGTTGTTTGGTGAGGTTAAGTGTGTGGGTTGGTGAGATGTTGTTTGGTGAGGTTAAGTGTGTGGGTTGGTGAGATGTTTGGTGAGGTTTAGTGTGTGGGTAGGTGATATGTTGTTTGGTGAGGTTTAGTGTGTGGGTTGGTGAGATGTTGTTTGGTGAGGTTTAGTGTGTGGGTTGGTGAGATGTTTGGTGAGGTTTAGTGTGTGGGTTGGTGAGATGTTGTTTGGTGAGGTTAAGTGTGTGGGTTGGTGAGATGTTTGGTGAGGTTTAGTGTGTGGGTTGGTGAGATGTTTGTTGAGGTTTAGTGTGTGGGTTGGTGAGATGTTTGGTGAGGTTTAGTGTGTGGGTTGGCGAGACCTCGTTAGGTCACTGAATGAAAGATTCAGGTACACAAACAGCGAACTAGTTGATCGAATATCAGCGAGTGTATTTTAGTTCGAATTATCATTACGGCATGACAACACGGTTAAATATATTTCGCTTCATATCTTAATGTTAAAACAGTACCCTTTTGAACCTAACAGTCAATAGGCTAGGTGAAGTAGAGTTCACCCAGCCACCTTTACTTTACCCTAACGTGAGTCAGGAACCCAGTAATGACACAAGGCGTCCTGAGGACTTAAGCCCAGGTTCAGAACGCGAGTCTGTCGTGTTAGCAGTCGAACGCTTTACCTTTCGACCACGCTGTTCCTAAATCTTAATGCAGTGGAACATTTTTTTTAAATAATTTAATAAATAAAAAAAAAAACAATAGGCGTTTGTTTTATTGAAATAGCCATTCAATGTATGTTGTAAACGCATGTGACTACACGATCTAACATTCAAAGATACAAACGCATGTAAAATACAAACATACGGTTTGTAACACGTTTAAGTTGATTGCTTTACACTAATTATTTTTCGAGAAATGTATTGGCCGATTTCCAATTCGCGACATTACAAATTTTATTTTCCGGGAAAACCTGAACATCGTCGTCAGCTCATTACCAATAATTTAAAAATAGAACTACCTCACACTGACGTTAAAAATAGAACTACATCACACTTACGTCTGGTAAATCCCCAACCTTGAAGGTGGTGGTATTTAAGCCGACTGCCGCTCCACAAACATCGTGCGGAGTCTGCTGTTGTTGTCTAGACCTGTGTATAATCAAGATGTCATCACGTGTCAAATCTAGCGAAGTCAACCAAAAACGTAACATGTCGAAGTCAATTTATCTCGTCCTTCTGCTGATTCTGAACTTCACGTCTGGCTATTGTAAGTATCTACCAACAGATTGTACGTCATTGTATTTTTGTTGTAAATATAGACTCGATTACTTACCTTCTAGTTGTAACTTTGAGATAGTTGAATTAGAGTCTTCTAGTTCCCGCGATAAACATTCTAACTATATCATTTTTTGTTATTAGATATACCACATAGCATCTGAATTCGGCCTATCTAGTTAGGGACTTCTTATATTGGGGCTTACATAGAGGTGTTAGGGGCTTACATAGAGGGGTTAGGTGCTTACATAGAAGTGCGAGGGGCTTATCTAGAGGTGTTAGGGACTTATCTAGAGGTGTTAGGGACTTATCTAGAGGTGTTAGGGACTTATCTAGAGGTGTTAGGGACTTATCTAGAGGTGTTAGGGACTTATCTAGAGGTGTTAGGGACTTATCTAGAGGTGTTAGGGACTTATCTAGAGGTGTTAGGGACTTATCTAGAGGTGTTAGGGGCTTATCTAGAGGTGTTAGGGACTTATCTAGAGGTGTAAGGAACTTATCTAGAGGTGTTAGGGGCTTATCTAGAGGTGTTAGGGACTTATCTAGAGGTGTTAGGGACTTATCTAGAGGTGTTAGGGACTTATCTAGAGGTGTTAGGGACTTATCTAGAGGTGTTAGGGACTTATCTAGAGGTGTAAGGAACTTATCTAGAGGTGTTAGGGGCTTATCTAGAGGTGTTAGGGGCTTATCTAGAGGTGTTAGGGGCTTATCTAGAGGTGTTAGGGGCTGAACGAGACAACATAGAACACACTACTTTAGTCAAGCTAGGCACACTTAATTGTGCCCAGCCAAGCATCTCAGTAGCATGACACGCATCGCAACCCACCAGAATCACTGCCTATGGGCTATACAGTGATAGAATGGTTACAATCATGTTTACAGTGACTAACACAACCACTGAAGTTTTCAACTGTGTAACTCTAAATACAGAAAAACTAATACGTTACAGACTTGCTAACCAAAGTCACTCAAATATGTGCCATTCAAATAGGCTGTGTAGGCAATACACATCAGGCAAATAATAACAACATGATTTGCCTCAAAATCCGTCGTATGTGACTAGATCTATACAAATATGCACATCTCATCATATTCTCTCTCCTAATATGCTGTATTAGGCACTACTACACACAATATCACTATAACAGTTTAAGTCTTAGTAATGATGGAGATGCAATGAGGCAATTAGGACAAGTATAATGTATTAATTAAATTAAAACACAGCAAATAAGAACAGATAAATTTATACTGCAGTAACCAGCAAGAAATATAGGGACCATCATACATATAAAAACACTGCATACCAACATAATATAGAGACTTTAGCAACAGTTATACTTACCAATTTCCCACACAAAATTGTTTACAATAGGGACGTCACGGAAAGTTGTTTCCCTTTGGCGTTTAGAAAGGGCAGATAACTTTTCCCCGAGAATGAACGCTACTCATCAGATTTTAAAGCAAATATTTTAGTGGGATACGGTGTCGATTTCAAAGGAAAAAAAGTTCTAGACAGAAGAAAAAAAGAAAAAGAAAAAGAAATGTTTAAAGAAATCATTGTAATAATATTAATAAGCTTTTTATTGTATTGAAAATGAAAAATAAAAAATAGAACTTGCTTTCTTCAGAAAATCATTGGTCATTTTCAAAATATTCATTTGAGCGACCTATACTTTCATTTAAGAAAGCACATTTTTTTTAGTGCATTCAAACCTCATTATCTTAATATTTGGTTGTTTTTTTTTTACTGCTTTAGTAATATCAACAAAGTTGAGTGTTAAGTAGGCCTATAATAATTCTAGAGAAACAACCACATACACAAAACACAGAACAAGCTCAAAGCATTTAAAACATGTAGTTTTCTCCAGCTATAAAAATATTGTTACAAAAATGACTTGCATAATTACAAATATTATTAATGATGTGCACATTTTAAAAATTAATTAACCTCAGGCGCGGAGCAGAAGTTTGGGAACTTAGATAAGCGAGTGGCAGAGCTTGAAGAAATCATGCAAGTTCTGGAGGAAAATTTTGGCTTATCGAAATTCAAGAGCTCTTCGTCATTTACGGGTCGTTTCGTTAACTGGCCTACTCCATATTCAGAATACACATCACTGCCCAAACTGGTGAGTAGATCACACGTCACGTGAGTAGATCACACGTCACGTGAGTAGATCACACGTCACGTGAGTAGATCACACGTCACGTGAGTAGATGACACGTCACGTAAGTAGATCACACGTCACGTGAGTATATCACACCTCACAAACTGGTGAGTAGATCACACGTCACAAACTGGTGAGTAGATCACACGTCACGTGAGTAGATCACACGTCACAAACTGGTGAGTAGATTACACGTCACAAACTGGTGAGTAGATCACACGTCACAAAATGGTGAGTAGATCACACGTCACAAAATGGTGAGTAGATCACACGTCACAAACTGGTGAGTAGATCACACGTCACGTGAGTAGATCACACGTCACGTGAGTAGATCACACGTCACGTGAGTAGATCACACGTCATAAACTGGTGAGTAGATCACACGTCACGTGAGTAGATCACACGTCACGTGAGTAGATCACACGTCACGTGAGTAGATCACACGTCATAAACTGGTGAGTAGATCACACGTCACGTGAGTAGATGACACGTAGTAGATTCAGGTCTCTCTATAGAATCATTTGAGTGAACCAGCGAGTCTATTATAATGGTGTGCATTTTTCCACTAGGTAAAGTGCGAGCGTAATATGGACCCCGACTACCCCCATGCGAGTCTATTATAATGGTGTGCATTTTTCCACTAGGTAAAGTGCGAGCGTAATATGGACCCCGACTACCCCCATGCGAGTCTATTATAATGGTGTGCATTTTTCCACCAGGTAAAGTGCGAGCGTAACATGGACCCCGACTACCCCCATGCGAGTCTATTATAATGGTGTGCATTTTTCCACTAGGTAAAGTGCGAGCGTAACATGGACCCCGACTACCCCCATGCGAGTCTATTATAATGGTGTGCATTTTTCCACTAGGTAAAGTGCGAGCGTAACATGGACCCCGACTACCCCCATGCGAGTCTATTATAATGGTGTGCATTTTTCCACTAGGTAAAGTGCGAACGCAACATGGACCCCGACTACCCCCATGCGAGTCTATTATAATGGTGTGCATTTTTCCACCAGGTAAAGTGCGAGCGTAACATGGACCCCGACTACCCCCATTTGGTGCTGGCCGTTATTGAGGGCGGGCATGTGGTCATGTGTGACACAAAAACAGACGGTGGAGGGTGGATCATCATGCAGGTATGGTGGAGGGTGGATCATGCAGGTATGGTGGAGGGTGGATCATCATGCAGGTATGGTGGAGGGTGGATCATGCAGGTATGGTGGAGGGTGGATCATCATGCAGGTAGGGTGGAGGGTGGATCATTATGTAGATATGGTGGAGGGTGGATCATCATGTAGGTATGGTGGAGTATTGATTCATAGTGTGGTGGAGGGTGGAACACCATGCAGGTATGGTGGAGGATGGATCAATCAACGAACGATACTCAAGTCTGACGACTATCTCTGTAATTGAAAAAAAAAAAAACTATTAAAAAACGATTTTTATCAATGTTTTAATTTTTTTTGAAAAAACACAAACTTTAATTTTGATTCGCTAAGTTAACAATTTGTCGAGTTGGTCTTGCCCGGCGCGCTTAATGTTGGCATGGGTGTAGATGTGTGTGTGTAGATGTGTGTGTGTGTGTGTGTGTGTAGATGTGAGTGTGTAGGTGTAGATGTGTGTGTGGGTGTAGATGAGTGTGTGTAGGTGTAGATGTGTATGTGTGTGTAGATGTGTGTGTGTAGGTGTAGATGTGTATGTGTGTGTAGATGTGTGTGTGTAGGTGTAGATGTGTATGTGTGAGTGTAGATGTGTGTGTAGGTGTAGATGTGTGTGGGTGTAGATGTGTGTGTAGATGTGTGTGTGGTGTAGATGTGTGTGTACATGTTTTCTAGCTCTACACAACTAAAGTGTGTGAGTACAGTGGCTTTATCTCATTCTAACAGCGTCGTGTTGTTGGTGACGTCAACTTTCACCGAGGCTGGCATGACTACAAGCACGGGTTTGGGTCCTACAACGGAGATTTCTGGCTGGGTAACGAGCTCATTCACCAGCTAACTGCCGAGGTACATCCCAACTATTGATTGAATGTAGACAATATATAGTGGCCCTGAGAATGTAGACGAGACTATCAAAAGTGGCCCAGACTTCGACTGTCGAAATACTTCCAAAAAAAATTACTTGAACAAAACCTTAGTAACATTTTTTATTACACCCAAGTTGTGGTTTCAAAATATTCTCTGATTTCCCTAGGGTCAGTTTGAACTACGAGTGGACTTTGTGTACGATCGTTACGACTACACCGCGGTATACGACAGCTTCCGGGTGGAGAGCGAATCTTCTCTGTACAAACTCCGGCTGGGTCAGAGAACCCAGGGCAACAACGACCAACTGACGGTACACAAGGACGCCAACTTCTCCACCATCGACCGCGACAACAGCAACTGGTGCGCCAAGAACTTTCTGGGCGGGTGGTGGTACTTTGATAATGATTCATGCATGGCTGTAAACCCTAACGGAGTCTGGAAATTGAACTCAAAACAGGGGTTATACTGGCAGGGTGTGACGCCAGAGAACTCAGTGAACAGGGTCGAGTTCAAGTTTAGACCAAAGTGTTAGGTCAACGGTCGAACTTGGTCGATCTGAGAGGGAGGTCAACAGTCGAACTTAGTAGATCTGATGGGGGGGGGGGGGGTCAACAGTCGAACTTAGTAGATCTGATGGGGGGGGGGGTCAAAAGTCGAACTTAGTCGATCTGATGGGGGGGGGGGGGGTCAACAGTCGAACTTAGTCGAGATGACAGTCGAGTTGCCTGCGTTACATACGTGTTAGCCCCAATGTTAACTGATACATATAAAACTTATGTGATGTTCCATACATTTACTTATAAACTTATTAACTGATACATATAAATCTTATGTGATGTTCCATACACTTACTTATAAACTTATTAACGGAAACACATAAATCTTATGTGATATTACATTTACTTGCTTAGAATTGTGATTTATTTCTATACATATTGTATAAGCTCATTGTTTATATTTCCTTGTTCGTATTTGCTTTTATGCTCGGTTGTTTTTTTTATACAATAAATGGCTTCCAAACGATACTCATATACATTTATTGTTTTAATAGAGGAAGGTTGGTTGACTGAAAGACTTAAGTCAGGTTGGCTGACTGACGTACACAATCCTACACACAATTCTAAATCTATAATCCTACACACATAATCCTACATCCATAATCCTACATGCACAAAATCCTACTGAAATTAAGATGAGATCTTCAAATGTAGAAAAAAAGCAAGTTGAGAATATGATCTGATCAAAATTTGAGCGTGAAAGTTGTAAGGGCTGAAACTAGAAACCACACACAAAGATAAATGCGTGGTCCTCACAATCTTCCTAAAACAACAACAACACCCCTCACCACACAACACCCCTCACCACACACACCCCTCACCCAAACAACACACCTTCGCCACACCAACACCCCTCACCACAATAACACCCCTCCACCACAACAACACCCCTCCATCACACCAACACCCATCCACCACACCAACACCCCTCACCCCTCACCACACCAACACCCCTCACCACAATAACACCCCTCCACCACAACAACACCCCTCCATCACACCAACACCCATCCACCACACCAACACCCCTCCACCACACCAACACCCCTCACCCCTCACCACACCAACACCCCTCACCACACCAACACCCCTCCACCACAACAACACCCATCCACCACACCAACACCCCTCCACCACAACAACACCCCTCCATCACACCAACACCCCTCCACCACACCAACACCCCTCACCCCTCACCACACCAACACCCCTCACCACACCAACACCCCTCACCCCTCACCACACCAACACCCCCTCACCACACAACACCCCTCACCACACCAACACCCCTCCACCACACCAACACCCCCTCCACCACACCAACACCCCTCCACCACACCAACACCCCTCCACCACACCAACACCCCTCCACCACACCAACACCCCTCCACCACACCAACACCCCTCACCACACCAACACCCCTCCACCACACCAACACCCCTCACCACACCAACACCCCTCCACCACACCAACACCCCTCCACCACACCAACACCCCTCCACCACACCAACACCCCTCACCACACCAACACCCCTCACCCCTCACCACACCAACACCCCTCCACCACACCAACACCCCTCACCACACCAACACCCCTCACCCCTCACCACACCAACACCCCTCCACCACACCAACACCCCTCCACCACACCAACACCCCTCACCCCTCACCACACCAACACCCCTCACCACACCAACACCCCTCACCCCTCACCACACCAACACCCCTCACCACACCAACACCCCTCACCCCTCACCACACCAACACCCCCTCCACCACACCAACACCCCTCCACCACACCAACACCCCTCACCCCTCACCACACCAACACCCCTCACCACACCAACACCCCTCACCACACCAACACCCCTCACCACACCAACACCCCTCACCACACCAACACCCCTCCACCACACCAACACCCCTCACCACACCAACACCCCTCACCACACCAACACCCCTCACCACACCAACACCCCTCACCACACCAACACCCTCACCACACCAACACCCCTCACCACACCAACACCCCTCACCACACCAACACCCCTCACCCCTCACCACACCAACACCCCTCACCCCTCACCACACCAACACCCCTCCACCACACCAACACCCCTCACCCCTCACCACACCAACACCCCTCACCACACCAACACCCCTCACCCCTCACCACACCAACACCCCTCACCACACCAACACCCCTCACCCCTCACCACACCAACACCCCTCACCACACCAACACCCCTCACCCCTCACCACACCAACACCCCTCCACCACACCAACACCCCTCCACCACACCAACACCCCTCACCCCTCACCACACCAACACCCCTCACCACACCAACACCCCTCACCACACCAACACCCCTCACCACACCAACACCCCTCACCACACCAACACCCCTCACCACACCAACACCCCTCACCACACCAACACCCCTCCACCACACCAACACCCCTCACCACACCAACACCCCTCACCACACCAACACCCCTCACCACACCAACACTCCTCACCACACCAAACCCCTCACCACACCAACACCCCTCACCACACCAACACCCCTCACCACACCAACACCCCTCACCCCTCACCACACCAACACCCCTCACCCCTCACCACACCAACACCCCTCCACCACACCAACACCCCTCACCCCTCACCACACCAACACCCCTCACCACACCAACACCCCTCACCCCTCACCACACCAACACCCCTCACCACACCAACACCCCTCACCACACCAACACCCCTCACCCCTCACCACACCAACACCCCTCACCACACCAACACCCCTCACCCCTCACCACACCAACACCCCTCACCCCTCACCACACCAACACCCCTCACCACACCAACACCCCTCACCACACCAACACCCCTCACCACACCACACCCCTCACCACACCAACACCCCTCACCACACCAACACCCCTCACCACACCAACACCCCTCACCACACCAACACCCCTCACCACACCAACACCCCTCACCACACCAACACCCCTCACCCCTCACCACACCAACACCCCTCACCCCTCACCACACCAACACCCCTCACCACACCAACACCCCTCACCACACCAACACCCCTCACCACACCAACACCCCTCACCCCTCACCACACCAACACCCCTCACCACACCAACACCCCTCACCCCTCACCACACCAACACCCCTCACCACACCAACACCCCTCACCACACCAACACCCCTCCACCACACCAACACCCCTCACCCCTCACCACACCAACACCCCTCCACCACACCAACACCCCTCCACCACACCAACACCCCTCACCACACCAACACCCCTCACCCCTCACCACACCAACACCCCTCACCACACCAACACCCCTCACCACACCAACACCCCTCACCCCTCACCACACCAACACCCCTCCACCACACCAACACCCCTCCACCACACCAACACCCCTCCACCACACCAACACCCCTCCACCACACCAACACCCCTCACCACACCAACACCCCTCACCCCTCACCACACCAACACCCCTCACCACACCAACACCCCTCACCCCTCACCACACCAACACCCCTCACCCCTCACCACACCAACACCCCTCACCACACCAACACCCCTCACCACACCAACACCCCTCACCACACCAACACCCCTCACCACACCAACACCCCTCACCACACCAACACCCCTCACCACACCAACACCCCTCACCCCTCACCACACCAACACCCCTCACCACACCAACACCCCTCCACCACAACAACACCCCTCCACCACACCAACACCCCTCCACCACACCAACACCCCTCACCACACCAACACCCCTCACCACACCAACACCCCTCACCCCTCACCACACCAACACCCCTCACCACACCAACACCCCTCCACCACACCAACACCCCTCACCACACCAACACCCCTCCACCACACCAACACCCCTCCACCACACCAACACCCCTCACCCCTCACCACACCAACACCCCTCACCCCTCACCACACCAACACCCCTCCACCACACCAACACCCCTCACCCCTCACCACACCAACACCCCTCACCACACCAACACCCCTCACCACACCAACACCCCTCACCACACCAACACCCCTCCACCACACCAACACCCCTCACCACACCAACACCCCTCCACCACAACAACACCCCTCCACCACAACAACACCCCTCACCACACCAACACCCCTCCATCACACCAACACCCCTCACCACACCAACACCCCTCCACCACACCAACACCCCTCACCACACCAACACCCCTCACCACACCAACACCCCTCACCACACCAACACCCCTCACCACACCAACACCCCTCACCACACCAACACCCCTCACCACACCAACACCCCTCCACCACACCAACACCCCTCCACCACACCAACACCCCTCACCACACCAACACCCCTCACCACACCAACACCCCTCACCACACCAACACCCCTCACCACACCAACACCCCTCACCACACCAACACCCCTCCACCACAACAACACCCCTCACCACACCAACACCCTACACCACATTAACACCCCTTACTAGACTGTTGCTGGTGTTCCCATGCGATGAAATGTATAATACAGTACAGTCCACTTCACGTTCAAGTTAAGCATACATTATTAACGTTATTTAGTGTCACACTCCCATCTGTAATGAGAGGTCACACTGCCAATTAAAACTGATGAAAGCAATGAAGTAATTACGCTGCCAATTAAAACTGATGAAAGCAATGAAGTAATTAAGCACACAATTATCAGTCAAGTGAACCCAGTTAAAAAACAGCCATGGTCTCGTACTTTAATCAAGGCACTTGTCTTACATAAATATAGATAAGTTGATGCATTTCCGGAAATTTAAGTGATATCATGATGTTGAAAATTTAATTAATTTTTAACCCCATAATTATACTAAAGTCGAATCCAATCTATCGTATGGCAATCTGAGAGACTAAGTTTGCGATGTTGAATCATCAAGGGATTCCGAAAATTGAAGTTTGAGACAAATAGACCACTACTTATCTTTAAGGTACAAACAGATAAGAAACAAACGCATTGCTTAAGATTGCTGTGAGATTAAAGTTTAGATGGACAATAGAGTTATTTACACAAGACAATCATTTGAATCATTGCATCGCTTTATATTACAGAAAACTACTTTATACTGGCAGTACACTACGTTATACAACCACTACATCACAGTATTGTCAGTCCAAAATGCATAGAATTTCTAAATTACTTCCTACTTGATTACTTTTCTCAAAAATGTAGCACCACTTTGGACGTTTTTTTTTTGGGAAAAAATATGTTATTTAAATTCGCATATTTTTTTTTCATATTATTACGAATGTTCGCCTTCATTTAGTCAGATAAATTAGGCAGCTTCGGTAGCACCACCTTGGAAGTTTTTTGGGAAAAAAATGTGTTATTGAAATTCGCATATTTTTTTCCCATAATATTGACTTCATTTAATCAGATAAATTAGGCAGCTTCGGTAAACCATGCCTTTGCTTTTATATTGTGAATGTTAACTTGAAGGCCCATATATATATATATATATATATATATATATATATATATATATATATATATATATATATATATATATATATACATATATATATATATATATATATATATATATATATATATATATATATATATATATATATATATATATATATATATATATATATATATATAATATATAACTATATATATATATATATATATATATATATATATATATATATATATATATATATATATATATATATATATATATATATATATATGGGTGTGTGTATGTATTTATATATATATATATATATATATATATATATATATATATATATATATATATATATATATATATATATATATATATATATATACATATATATAAATTTACATAATTTTAAAAACATATATTTTATCCTAGTATGTTACGTTACTGCCACAAAAAATGAACCATTTAACCTATCAACTGCTGATCCTTACTTTGATAGCCGGCCACTGTGGTGCTTGTAATTGTAAGTAACAAACTTTACTCATTTGGGGAAACGATAGCTTATAAACTTTTTCTAAGCGTATTGACAATAAAATGGATAAATATTTTTTTTTTACTTTGATAATAGTTTAGTGTAGGTTTTACTTATATAATAAACAATCTTTGTACTGTTATCTTTTTTGTGTAAGACCATATCATGTAGCCACAATGTTGGATGTGTTTTTGTTCCATGAGGTAGGCGTTCTAGACGACATATTTTCTCTAAGGGTTTTTTGTATGCGTTATAGATTTAAAATTAGGTCTTTCAATTGTGTGATCAATGATAAAATGGGGGTAGAAGATTGTTGTATATGACGCGTTTACCTTTTGGCCAAGTGTGAGTTCTACTCGTGTGTTGCGAGTGACTGCCCCCGGATACATTTCGTGATGTCGCATCCGATAACTACACTTGTTATGTGTGATATCGCATGAGTTCTGGCATCTGTTATGTGTGATATCGCATGAGTTATGGCACTTGTTATGTATGATCTCGCATGAGTTGTGGCCCTTGTTATGTGTGATATCGCATGAGTTGTGGCCCTTGTAATGTGTGATATCGCATGAGTTGTGGCCCTTGTAATGTGTGATATCGCATGAGTTATGGCACCTGTTATGTGTGATTTCGCATGAGTTATGGCACTTGTTTCCTCTACAGCCAGGTCATCGTCCAGGAGCTACAACTCGGCCCCAACGATCGTCTGCCCATCGTTTCCCGCCATCTTGATGACCGCTAAAGGTGACGTCACCAGAAATATTTCCTGGGCCGTGCCCAACGCTTATGATGATAACGGTACACCAAGGTAAGCGTATGGCATGCGTCCCAGGGCGGAACTACAGTGCCGCCAGACCCCGAACTGCATGTATCTGGTCAGTGAATATCTGTGAGTAGAATATCAGTCAAGAGAGTGGTCAGTAAACATCCTTATGTAGCGAACATTTAAAATTTATGTGTGTTCCACTTCAAGGTTAATTAATATAAAAAAATTAGTTTAAAAACTAAGTTTAAAAAATTACTTTATTAACTAGTCTATCACAATAATCACCATTAAAATCAATGATGTTTTTCGTGTTTTAGTCATTTCATGTTTTGTGTCAATTACCGACAAATCAGGTATAAAAATGTAAACAAAACTAACAGATAACAAAGTTAACTTATTGGTTAGCGTTAAATAAAACGGGAAGCCATACAGAGGAAATATGCCTTAGAGTTACAAGGAGAGGTTTCTTTCTCTGCAGAACATAACGTCTCTTGACACAATGTTTCATTTATTTTCTAATTAAAACCTGTGTTCATTAATACACAATGAAAGCTGAAACAAACCAGTCGACAGTTGTATTTATTCACATTTCACCATCAGGTTGAATGTTTTTGAGACAGACAAGTAATATTTTTCATTTGAACCTGCGCATGCCGTGTTAGTTTCACCATTGAGATTTCGGGATTTGTTAGCGATAAACGAAAGAAAGACACAACAGCCTAATTTTTTTTTAAAGCAGATGTACATATATATTCACTCTAGGTTCTACCAGTCTGTGTATTACATCAGGATAAGATAAAATAAACTTCCTAGGTTCTACCCGTCTGTGTATTACATCAGGATAAGATAAAATAAACTCTTCCTAGGTTCTACCAGTCTGTGTATTACATCAGGATAAGATAAAATAAACTCTTCCTAGGTTCTACCAGTCTGTGTATTACATCAGGATAAGATAAAATAAACTCTTCCTAGGTTCTACCAGTCTGTGTATTACATCAGGATAAGATACAATAAACTCTTCCTAGGTTCTACCAGTCTGTGTATTACATCAGGATAAGATAAAATAAACTTCCTAGGTTCTACCAGTCTGTGTATTACATCAGGATAAGATAAAATAAACTCTTCCTAGGTTCTACCAGTCTGTGTATTACATCAGGATAAGATAAAATAAACTTCTAGGTTCTACCCGTCTGTGTATTACATCAGGATAAGATAAAATAAACTCTTCCTAGGTTCTACCCGTCTGTGTATTACATCAGGATAAGATAAAATAAACTCTTGCTACTACCAGTCTGTGTATAACATCAGGATAAGATAAAATAAACTTCCTAGGTTCTACCAGTCTGTGTATTACATCAGGATAAGATAAAATAAACTTCTAGGTTCTACCCGTCTGTGTATTACATCAGGATAAGATAAAATATACTCTTCCTAGGTTCTACCAGTCTGTGTATTACATCAGGATAAGATAAAATAAACTCTTGCTACTACCAGTCTGTGTATAACATCAGGATAAGATAAAATAAACTTCCTAGGTTCTACCAGTCTGTGTATTACATCAGGATAAGATAAAATAAACTCTTCCTAGGTTCTACCAGTCTGTGTATTACATCAGGATAAGATAAAATAAACTCTTGCTACTACCAGTCTGTGTATAACATCAGGATAAGATAAAATAAACTTCCTAGGTTCTACCCGTCTGTGTATTAAATCAGGATAAGATAAAATAAACTTCCTAGGTTCTACCAGTCTGTGTATAACATCAGGATAAGATAAAATAAACTCTTCCTAGGTTCTACCAGTCTGTGTATTACATCAGGATAAGATAAAATAAACTCTTCCTAGGTTCTACCAGTCTGTGTATTACATCAGGATAAGATACAATAAACTCTTCCTAGGTTCTACCAGTCTGTGTATTACATCAGGATAAGATAAAATAAACTTCCTAGGTTCTACCAGTCTGTGTATTACATCAGGATAAGATAAAATAAACTCTTCCTAGGTTCTACCAGTCTGTGTATTACATCAGGATAAGATAAAATAAACTTCTAGGTTCTACCCGTCTGTGTATTACATCAGGATAAGATAAAATAAACTCTTGCTACTACCAGTCTGTGTATAACATCAGGATAAGATAAAATAAACTTCCTAGGTTCTACCAGTCTGTGTATTACATCAGGATAGGATAAAATAAACTCTTCCTAGGTTCTACCAGTCTGTGTATTACATCAGGATAAGATAAAATAAACTCTTGCTACTACCAGTCTGTGTATAACATCAGGATAAGATAAAATAAACTTCCTAGGTTCTACCCGTCTGTGTATTAAATCAGGATAAGATAAAATAAACTTCCTAGGTTCTACCAGTCTGTGTATAACATCAGGATAAGATAAAATAAACTTCCTAGGTTCTACCCGTCTGTGTATTAAATCAGGATAAGATAAAATAAACTTCCTAGGTTCTACCCGTCTGTGTATAACATCAGGATAAGATAAAAAAAAACTCTTCCTAGGTTCTACCAGTCTGTGTATTAAATCAGGATAAGATACAATAAACTCTTCCTAGGTTCTACCAGTCTGTGTATAACATCAGGATAAGATAAAATAAACTTCCTAGGTTCTACCCGTCTGTGTATAACATCAGGATAAGATAAAAAAAACTCTTCCTAGGTTCTACCAGTCTGAAGGCCTCCCGTCTGGAAGTATTTTCTCTGAAGGTTCCCACACCATCCGATACATCGCTACTGACTACTACGGCTCGTCGGGGGCATGCACGGTTTCTTTCAGGCTCAAAGGTAAATAACACACACAGACACACACACACACATATATATATATATATATATATATATATATATATATATATATATATATATATATATATATATATATATATATATATATATATATATATATATATATATATAAGTACACATACAGTATCTATTGTCGTAATTTTAGAGCTTAGATTAATACTTTTAATTACAAGATCTAGTTGGACCAATAGAGAGTGTGTATCTGGTTCAATGTTTAATTAAAAAAAACGTTCGTCCAGTCCGTAGGTGTCGCGCTGACCACCTGACCCTGGCTAACGGAACTGTCCACTGTCATGATGCCAAGGCAGGTAACGTCTACGGCAGCCGGTGCCAGTACGGCTGTGATCCCGGCTACAGACTTGTGGGGAGTTCTGTGGCCGAGTGCCAGGAGAACGAGACCTGGAGCCGCCCCAAGCCGTACTGTAAAGGTTGGTGTTCGAACCTCTGCTCTCAGTTCTACAGGTTTATGTACACAGTGGGTCCCGAACTCTGACCCGAACTCTGACCCGAACTCTGACCCGAACTCTGACCCGAACTCTAAACCTCACGCTAACTCTAACTCAAATTCTAATTCCAACTCTAACCCTAACTCTAATCAAACAATCACTTTAATATTGCTTTCCTAACTCTAAACATACTTCTAAAACTACCTGAATCTGCTGCCATATCTCCAGCCCTAGGTTCTAAAGCCACACCAAGTCCTAACTTTAACCAATGATAGTTTTATATCTTAACACTAAAAGTCTGACTTGATCTCATACATAACTAAATACAAAAAACCTGTACTGCAAGCTAATAAAAACTACATCATTGAACACTTAGAACCGTGCTAACTCTCTCTCTCTCCCTGATACACCAGAGAAAGTCTAACTAACCCTCTCTCTGATACACCAGAGAAAGTCTAACTAACCCTCTCCCTGATACACCAGAGAAGGTCTGCAGGAAGCTCCCACCCCCGGAGAACGGGGCAGTGACCTGCCACAGTGTCAACAGGACCAGTAGGACCTGCCTGCCTCAGTGTGTTCAGGACATGGTCCTCCATGACGTGGCCAACAGGACCTACACCTGCTCGGACCTCAGTGAGGTGTGGTCGCCCAAAGACTTCATTCCCAGATGCATGGGTAGGTTTTCTTGGGGTGTGGGTAGGTTTTTGTGGTGCATGAGTAGGTTTTTGTGGTGCATGGGTAGGTTTTTTGTGGTGCATGGGTAGGTTTTCTTGGGGCGTTGGTAGGTTTACCTCGGACGTGGGTAGGTTTACCTGGGACGTGGGTATGTTTTATTGGGGCTTGGGTAGGTTTACTTGAAGCGTAGGTAGGTTTCTTGGTGTATGGGTACGTTTTCTCGGTGCATTGGTAGGTTTACTTGGTGCATGAATAGGTTTACTTGATGTCTTGTAATCAACACTAGTTCCAATAGTTCGTCAAGTGTAACGATGTCCGTTTAAGATGTCACAGTTTCACCACGTGTAATGATTTACATAATTTATGTCACAATTTTATCACGTGTAGTGATTTACATATATATGTCCCACTTTGCACAGCCCCAAGACGTCCACAAGACGTCATGACGTCACCCAGCTTCTACTACTACAGTAGAGACTGCAGCAGTGACGTCAGTGTGGTCAGGGAAAAATTTCTCACGGCCTTGTCAGGTCTTCAGCTGGTGGGGGCCGGCGGGAAGTGTGACGTCACAGAGGTGGTGGTCACGTGTGGGAAACACGTGACTGTCCGGCATACGGCTGGTGAACACCTGTCTCAATATAAGGTACGTGTTTCTTTTAGAATAAGGGTTGATAAATATTACATTCACGCCATATTGGTGAACATGGGCAACAAATGCTCACGGCATCAAATACGATCTATTTAGACGTATTAGGATGAGCCTTACAGAGCTGTATCGCTTGTAGAAACTGGTGTTGTTTTAGTGTAAGGTTCAATTGTCCTCAATACGTGAGTATAGTAGGTCTCACTTCTCGCTACTCCAGTAGCGTCTCATTAAGCTAATCATAATCATCATATTTGTGTCCAAGACACATGGGGCAGATGTAACAGAGTTCATGTCTTTCAATGTTGTCGGTATAGAGGGGGGTATTGTGTCAGCTCTAGGCCCAGCGCCTTGTTTTCCCCAACGTATGACAGGTACCCATCAGAGCTGGGTGGACTCAAGGACGTACTACAGACTGGAGCCCGGGATCTGAACTCGAGACTTTTGGGTTGGCACTCGTAACCTCTACTTTTTGCCCATGTCGTCCCTTTAGTTAATCATATTTCAGCTTAATTAATTTCTTGACCTTTAAGAAGCTGTATAACAAAATATTTTACTGATTAATTAGTCCAATGGAAGATGTAGGCTCTTATCTCGCTTCAACTCAATTGCTAACCTTCAGAGCTTCTCTGTTTACAAATTGTTAACAGAACAGTTAACACTTCTAAATGTCAACTTCCAGATGACAGCCACGCTGAGGGTGGGGGTCTACAGGAACCAAGGCACCCCCACGGGCAGCTACAAGTTCTACAGCTCCGTGGTCGAGTCCCTGGGGGAGCGGCTGTCTAAGGCGTCCTCGGCTGGTGACCTTGACCTTCCCGGGGTTGGCAGGTTTGGGGAACTGGATCAAGGTCAGGTGAAGTTCACGTGTGAGCCTGGCACGAGGATGGTCTATGACGTCATGGCATGTGGTGAGTCATTGCGTCATGCACAAGCGAATTTGATCTACTGAGTCATGGGGACGAGCTGCTGTGACGTCACTACCGGATCTGTTTCATCACTAGCTTATTTCTTAATCTCGAGACTCAATACAATTGTAACACAAACACTCCTACGTCATTTAGAATGTTAGTGGATTGTAAAATATCCTTCTTGTATTGACTTATTTATTGTACACAACTAACTATTTTTTTTAAATGTTGTATCTATTTTAATGCTCTGTCTCACGTCATCAGTTGGGTGTGGCCAAGGCTACATCTACGACACGAAGACAGACAAATGCAGGGAATGTCCTAAAGACACCTATCAGGACCAGGACATTGGGTTCACCTGCAAGCCGTGTCCTACAGGTACAACGACTGTCTACATGGGGTCAGTCAGTCTCAAGCAATGTCAAGGTCAGTTCTGTTCCCTCAAATTTTGTGTATTTGTATATATATATATATATATATATATATATATATATATATATATATATATATATATATATATATATATATATATATATATATATATATAAAACAAAATAAAAAAATTAGGCACATACATATACACTAAAGAGGTATTGGTGTCCTAAACAGGACACTGTCCTGCTGGTCACTACTCAGACACGGGGATGACGCCATGCCAGAAATGTCCAGCTGGAACCCACCAATCAGAGCGTGGCATGCACGTGTGTGACCTTTGCCCTTTCGGAATGTCCACACCTCAGACAGGAGCCACGTCTGGTCAAGATTGTCAATGTTTGTATTCTAGTGTGTTTGTTCAATGTTTGTATTCTAGTGTGTTTGTTCAATGTTTGTATTCTAGTGTTTGTATTCTAGTGTGTTTGTACAATGTTTTTATTCTAATGTTTGTACAATGTTTGTATTCTAGTGTGTTTGTTCAATGTTTGTATTCTAGTGTGTTTGTTCAATGTTTGTATTCTAGTGTGTTTGTTCAATGTTTGTATTCTAGTGTGTTTGTACAATGTTTGTATTCTAGTGTGTTTGTTCAATGTTTGTATTCTAGTGTTTGTTGAATGTTTGTATTCTAGTGTGTTTGTACAATGTTTGTATTCTAGTGTTTGTTGAATGTTTGTATTCTAGTGTGTTTGTACAATGTTTGTATTCTAGTGTGTTTGTTCAATCTTTGTATTCTAGTGTTTGTTGAATGTTTGTATTCTAGTGTGTTTGTACAATGTTTGTAATCTAGTGTGTTTGTTCAATGTTTGTATTCTAATGTTTGTTAATGTTTGTATTCTAGTGTGTTTGTTCAATGTTTGTATTCTAATGTTTGTTCAATGTTTGAAATCTAGTGTTTGTTTTCTAATGTGTTTGTTCAGTGATTGTATTCCAGTGTGTTTGTTCAATGTTTGTTGTCATTTCGTATTTTTATTCACCTGCTTTTTATAACCATTAAAATATTTCATTTAGTTCAGATTGTCTGTTTGTTTGCGTGTTTGTGGAAAATGTTGAAACTTAATTTTGTGCCTTTTCCAATGCAGCGATTTAGTTCGTACTTTCCAGATGTATTCGTTACCGTCGGCAGTACAAAAATATCTCATTTTTAATCTGCCTGTAGTCACACTTTCGATTCCCCCCCCCCCCCCCCCCCCTCAAGTTTTTCTCTATATATTTTGCTATTTTTTGCCTTGGTGTCACCCCCCTAAATGGTGTCACCCGGTGCGGTCCGCCTGTAGTGGATAGATACTTGCGTAGGCGGTCACGTGTGTTAAATCTAGGGACGTAGGCTTCACGTTAGGTTAATTTAATTTGTAATTTAATTATTTTACTGTATATATTTTTTCTTCTTAAGTTCGTTGTCTATATGAGGTTTTATATATAAAGTTCTGGCTGTAACTATCTGCAATCGACGAAGGCCAATGATGCATGTATTTGTTTAACCGTCCCCCCCCCCCCTCCCACCAGTTGTTGCCGTCAGGTTAGACGAGAACAGCCCAGGTCCAGTTCTAGAGGTCAAGGACGAATCTCCAGTCACCTTCACCTTCATGGCCTGGCTGTCCGCTGACGTCAATCACACGAGATCAAGGCTGAGATTTTCTCTGGAACATTCCACGGTCAACTGGAGCTGTGCTGGTCTGGTGCTGGGTCACGTGACCATCTGTCTGGACACTGACGTCACACATGATACGAACAGGTGTTGTTTTTTTTTTGGCTGCAGCTAAATGATTTGTCTACAGCTAAACTGTTTTTCTACAGCTAAACTGTTTGTCTGATTCAGTATTATTGAATGTTTTACTTTTAAATATAAGCTAGATATTTTTTTCTTCATATTTTGATAAAAAACGTTGTTTTTTTTAAATTGATCATTTATATATTTTAGCAATCAAAGCTTTTTTTGAAGAAAGCAGTTTAGTTTTATTTTCTTATTTTCAGGGCATTTTAAAACTTGTCGCTATGAAGATTTTTTTAAATATTTGTTTTATTTTAGGTTTTAGGTTTTTCCTAATAAACTGCTTTTTTTTTCTTTACCCCATGTGTACATGAATATATGAACTAAATTTACATGAACACGGTGACTAACTTGTACATGTACATGTGAACCAACTTGTACATGAACATATAAGCTAATTTGTACATATACACGTGAACCAACTTGTACATGTACATGTTGACAAACATATTTGTACATGTACATGTGGATCAACTTGTACATGTACATATTGACCAACATATTTGTACACAGTTCCTGGAGCCATCTAGCTGTGACCTGTAACGGCAAAGGGCAAGTTACTCTGTATGAGAACGGCAAGCAAGGCGAGAGTTATCTGTATGTTGATATGACCACTTGGAACAAGATCAACATACAGTTTCAACCTTCAGATAACTTGACCTGTACGTTATTTTTCAACATGTATACACAAAATATTTTTGGAAATATTTTTAAAATAAATTTGTGATAAATATTCTGACCGTCAATATGTAACAGAAATAATTCACATTGTTCTATTTTTAGCTGTGGTGGTGAGTGGTCTACAAATGACACGAACAGAATACACAGACGTGCATGTTGGAACATTCGCGAGGTCATGTCTGGCACAGGTAGACGACAACATTCTGGGTGCCAGACATGGGGACACGCTCAACACGTCGGCAAACACCTGCACAGGTACTCACACCTGCTCCAAACTATGTACTCACACCTGTTCCAAACTATGTTGTTTTCTCTAATAGCAGACTGCCACCTGTATTCACACCTGGGCCAAACTATGTTGTTTTTTAACGTTTTTGTCAAAGCTATTTATTATGTGACTAAAATTGATCATACCCAGAGGGTATTTACTGTATGGTTTCACATTATTTATATGTCTGCATATATGTAGCACATGTATGTATCACTGTCTCTCCTCTTGCTAGTGTAGTTGCTACTTTTCGCATCACTAACTTGACTACTACTACATTAATTATTACTCTAATTAGAAAACCTAAGTCGTCTGTGTTTGTGTGCATAGGTATTTATTAAAAATAGTGGATGCATGCATTCGGTACGTAATGTACAGGAGGCGTTGGTAGGGAAACAGTAAGAACTATTGTGGCAGAACTATTTTGTAAAGAATACGTCAAGTAAGAATTTCTCCACAGTGCCAGTCGCACGTGAGTGGTCAAAGTGGGGCCAGTGGTCAGTCTGTGACGTCACGTGTGGTCATGGCGCCAGGACGAGAACGAGAAAATGTGAGAACCAAGATGGCGGCGACTGCTATGGAGCGGATCAGGAAACGGAAGTGTGTAGGGTCGCCGACTGCGGTAGGTGGTCAAAACGTCCTTGACACTGTGGTAGGTGGTCAAAACGTCCTTGATATTGTGGTAGGTGGTCAATGTTTTATTCTAGCTACATTTGAAGCAGAAACAGTTCAATAAATCCTGAGAGTGCCTATCCTACAGCAGATTTCTAAAGTTTCTTGCCGTGTCTGTGTAACGTCACATTGAATTGTGGTTATTGTTTCATATTGTGTGATCGTGTCAAAAGCGCACCGCGCAGGATTTGAAAGATCTATTTTTAGACTTGTCTCTCTTTAGAAAAAAATACGGAAAATGTTTTTAAAAATCTTAACTCACCCCTCTAACAACCCTCCAACAGCCCGAAGACGTCCTAATGACGTCATGACGTCACCCAGCTTCTACTACTACAGCGGTAACTGCAGCAGTGACGTCAGTGTTGTCAAGGACAACTTTCTCACGGCCTTGTCAGGTCTTGACCTGCTGGGGGCTGACGGGAAGGTTGACGTCAGAGAGGTCAAGGTCACCTGCGGCAAACACGTCCAACAAAGAGAACTGACGTCACTGTACAAGGTAATCTGAAGATTAACATAATCCAAAGATTAACTAATCCACAGTTGATGGTATGATTATCATATTATCATACATTGTTGGCATATAAGTTAGAAACAGTGACAAATGAAATGTCACCCACTGGTTCAGAAATCGGACCATATGACACTAGAGGGATGGGTTGAAAAACAAAACTTTGGGGGTTCTAAATACCTGGGCTGAGGATTATCGCACCAGGCAGATTTAGAAGGTCACAAACATAGAACTATAAGAGTTAAATACTAATCCTAGAACAAAACTAGGATTTGTCAGACATACTTGCAGGGAGACTAGGATTATTGTGTTAAGATAAAAATATCGTAATTAAGCTATTAAAATCTATTGTCTTATATGCTAAGTATCTATGTTGTGGATTGTTGAATTAATAAGTTATAAAGATTTAATTATCAGACTTTATCGATATATAGTTTTATTAAGTTTAATTAATAAGTTATAAAGATTTAATTATCAGACCTTTATTGATATCTGGTTTTATCATATTTAAAAATATCAGAGCCCAACCTTGGTCGAGCTACACATTACACTCTGGGTACACACACAATAATTTACACTAAGACCTTGGTTGACAAATACAAAAACAAAACCACATAAAGTTCAAAGAAAGCCCACAAAGTCAAGCAACTTTCAGGTGACTGCTGTCGTCCATGTCGGTGTCTACCAGCAGAGGAGTGGACCCTGGGGGAGTGGACCCCGGGGGAGCTACAAGTTTTACAACTCTGTGGTCGACTCACTCAATCACCAGCTGCTTCACGTGCACACCTCGGGTAACCTTGACCTTCCTGGGGTGGGCAGGTTGGCAGAGCTTGAACAAGGTCAGGCGGAGTTCACATGTGACCCGGGCACGAGGCTGGAGTATGACGTCATGGCTTGTGGTGAGTCATTGCGTCACGCTTGACTAGAGACTCACAAATATCTATCAACGTTTTATATATTCAGTTAGTACGTTTTCTTTAGTCACAAATTCAATAGATTTTTTTTACCCAAATGTATAACGTACACGACTATGTGAAATTTTAATCTAATCAAAGACTAAATTAGAATTTCTGTAATTAATTAAACAGCGGGCTGTGGTCAAGGCTACATCTACGACACGAAGACAGACAAATGCAGGGAATGTCCTAAAGACACCTATCAGGACCAGGACATTGGGTTCACCTGCAAGCAATGTCCTAAGGGTACAGCGACTGTCAGCACTGCAACTGTCAGTCTAAAGCTTTGTCAAGGTCAGTCTCACACTTTGACAAGGTCAGTCTGAAAATATTTCAAGGTCAGTCTCAAGCTCTGCGAAGGTCAGTCTCAAAATATTTCAAGGTCAGTCTCAAAATATTTCAAGGTCAGTCTCATAACATTTCAGTGTCAGTCTCAAACATTGTCAAGGCCAGTCTCACATTTTGTCACGGTCAGTCACATAATTTGTCAAGGCCAGTCTCATAATTTGTCAAGGCCAGTCTCATAATTTGTCAAGGCCAGTCTCATAATTTGTCAAGGCCAGTCTCATAATTTGTCAAGGCCAGTCTCATAATTTGTCAAGGCCAGTCTCATAATTTGTCAAGGTCAGTCTTACATTTTGTCAAGGTCAGTCTAATAATTTTTCAAGGTCAGTTTCAATCTTTGCCAAGGTCATTCTCAAACTTTAACGTGGTCAACTTAAGCCAATGTAGGTCTTATAGTTAAATAAAAGTGCGAATCTCACATGTGTTCTAGAACTTTCAGCGACCCCTCCCTCCTCCCCCCCCCCCCCCCCCCCAAATCCCCTGCTGCTCAAATTAGTTACCTTATTTGAAGATATATGAACTGTAACCTGTTACCTGTGACCATTGAACTGTCTCCAGATTTCTGCTCGCCTGGTCACTACTCAGACACAGGCACGAGACCATGTCAGACCTGTCCCCCAGGGTCCTACCAGCCACAGGACGGTGGGAGGGGCTGCAGACGTTGTCCCTACGGCATGTCGACCCCCACCCCAGGAGCAAGATCCCGCCACGAATGCCAGTGTGAGAAGCCTTGTTTGGTTTTTCATTCAAACTGTATTGGACGCTTTATGCCAACAGCGAACCCTTTAAGCCATTAGCAAACAGTTTAAGCCAATAGCGAACAGTTTAAGCCAGTAGCGAACACTTTCCATCATCTTCAGTTGAATTTTTTTTTCACCGTCCAGTTGTTGCCGTCAGTTTAAACGAGAACAGCCCAGGTCCAGTTCTAGAGGTCAAGGACGACTCACCTGTCACCTTCACCTTCATGGCCTGGCTGTCCGCTGACGTCAATCACACGAGGTCAAGGCTGAGATTTTCTCTGGAACATTCCACGGTCAACACGAGCTGTGCAGGGCTGGCGCTGGGTCACGTGACCTTCTGTCTAGACACTGACGTCACCAACGCGACCAGGTATTTGAGGTCTATTCTAGTGTCAAGATTTTTAACTGTCTCAAAAACGGTCAAAAACTTTATAATAATGAGTTTTTTTAAAATCTAATTCTGTGTTCACACACAAATTAGCTCTTTTAAGGCCATTGTTAATTTTTATCCCTTGCTAGGTAATGTAATTTGTTTGCCATTGTAACGCAAATGTAAAATCATTCCCCTTGTAAGGTAGCTCGATTATTTCCCCTTGTAAGTTCAGTGTGAATTATTCCCCCTTGTAAGTTCAGTATGAATTATTCCCCCTGGTAATGCCATTGTTTCCCCAGTGATTGGAGCCATGTCGCTGTTGTGTACACAAAGAAAGGGGAACTAACCTTGTATGAAAATGGGAACCTTGTCGGGAGTTACCTCGAGGAAATAAAAACCTGTAACAACATGGCCATTAAATTCAAAAGTTCTGCCCACCTCAAATGTAAGTAGATATTTAAGTGTATTCTCGAATTAAGATTTGACTTTCACATATTGTTTTTACTCATATACCAGCATTTGGAGGGGCGTGGTGATATTGTAGAGCGTTCGACTATTAACCCAAAGGTCTCGAGTTCGAATCTCTTGAACGAGTCTATTAATCATTGCTTCGTCCACTTAGTTCTTTGCCTGACTCCTACATCCAACTGATGAGTACCTGACTCCTACGTCCTCCTAGCTCTGCTGTATGCCTGACTCCCATTAGACTCTGTTAAGGCACATGGGCATAGTGCTGAGTACACGCACTTTATATACCAAACTGACAGAAACAGGTGAAATCTACTTCACCTGCCCCACAGATCACCAGTATGCACATTCTTTAAGAATTTGTCCTCATCTATTTTTAGCTGTGTTGGTGAGTGGTCTACAAATGACACGAACAGAATACACAGACGTGCATGTTGGAACATTCGCGAGGTCGTGTCTGGCACAGGTAGACGACAACATCCTGGGTGCCAGACCAGGTGTAGTCCTTAAAGCAGCACCTGGTTCCTGTACAGGTGAGTACATGATCTTTTGTACAGAAGGGTACATGATCTTTTGTACAGGTGGGTACATGATGGTTTTGTACAAGTGGGTACAGTATCTTTTGAATAGGTGGGTACATGATATTTTTGTACAAGTGGGTACATGATCTTTTGTACAGGTGGGTACATGATCTTTTTGTACAGGTGTGTACACGATGGTTTTGTACAAGTGGGTACAGTATCTTTTGAATAGGTGGGTATATGATCTTTTTGTACAAGTGGGTACATGATCTTTTGTACAGGTGGGTACAGTATCTTTTGTATAGGTGGGTACATGATCTTTTTGTAGTACAAGAACTCTTATATGGTGTGTGTACAGGATCTTTTCCTACAGGTGGGTAAAAGATCTTGTTGTACATGTGTGTACAGTGTTTTTGTCTAAAAACGATCACATTTTATTATCGTTGTAGAAATCAAATTAATTTTACCTAACTACGTTAACAAAACGTTTCAAATTTAATGTAATGTGTTTTGTTTGACCCTTGGTAGTTCCTGATCTTCAAGGCTGGATGAAGTGGGGCCTGTGGTCACCGTGTGACGTCACGTGTGGTCAAGGCACAAGGTCAAGGTCGAGAAAATGCAGGAACGCACACCCAGAGAAGGGTGGTGGCCGATGCACGGGGGAGGGGCAGGAAGCTGAAGTTTGCCACGCCCCACCCTGCGGTAATTAATGCCACGCCCCTCCCTTCGGTCATTGATGCCACGCCCTTCCCTGCGGTCATTGATGCTACCAAGCCTGCAGCATGTATTGATGTGTCACCATCTGTCGTATCCCGACTTTAGTTAACTCTCTAACCACTACAGCCCGACTTTAGTTAACTCACTACAGTACATATATGTATCTTTATTTTCTACACATACGAAACCTATTTCATTAAACCAGCTTTGGCTTCCACCTCTGATTACCGTGTTTGTTAAAATAGATGTGCCTATATTTAAACAAAAATAGAAAAAATATTTAGAAAGACACTTCATTTACCTTTTAAAAAACTATATCCTTATCAGTTCTCCTACTCGGATTCAAAATTGTTCTTTCAAAGTAAATAGGTTCAAAACTTTATAAAATAAACGTCGACTAAAAAAAAAAGGAAAGGGAAGCAACTGCTATATCTCACGCTTTACAGTTGTATTTTCATTGTTGTCTCCCCTTGACCGTAAACTGAAGACATTTTTTAAAACAGCAAATACAAGTACATGAAAAGGGATGCTACTGGTGATTTTTTTATCGGTGAACAATATCAGTATGGCCTCCCTTGGCATACAAAAAAACAATGATTGTTTAAGGATAAAGTAATAAAAGTGCTCTGATTAAAACAAAGCAAATATTTCCGAGTAAATGTAATACTTATTATAACAGGTAATTAATGAGACACGCATAAATTATGCGGTTTACACGTATTCACTAGGTTATTATTATGCTGTTGTTGTTTTTTATAAAGTTGTTAATTAATTAGCGAAAAATTAAAATTAATAATTTGGAAAAAAAAATGTATCTTTTCCAAATCAAACATTTTAATTAGCCGGAAGTTACAAAAATACAATTAATATAAATTTTATTGTTAGGATAGATAATTGACTAATTTAAATTACATTAGGAAGAAATTAAACAGTTTTTCTTATCGGCCATCATCAGGGATGTGGATTTAAAAAACGACAAACTACTCCAACAATGGTTGTACTATTGTACTCAAGACAGCCGGGATTGCGCTACACAAATAGTGGTACAGTACAAAGGTTTACAACAAAATATATGGGTTCTAAATTTAATCCACACACGCGGAGACAGGAGAAAATGTACATCTATAAGCAATGTTGATATATAGTAGTGTGTCCGTCTGATCGTCAAGCTGACCTTTACAATTGGCTAGTACTGTATCCGTCTGATAATTTTGTTAGCTGTTCTTCCTCTTTTAAACTCAAAAGACGTGTGACACAAACACACTCGTACCATTATACATTTGACTTATAAAGGGGGATGGAAGTAACAAAAATTTTAAAACATAAAACGATCAGAAAAATATTTCCGAATAGTTCAGCTAATTAAAATAATACATTTTTAAATGTGTTCTTAATAGATCATTATAAACACAAATTACATGTGTTTAAAAGTTTAATAAAAGTAAAGAAAAACAGAAAATCATCAGTCTAACAGAGAAACACTTTAATATGCTGACGTCAGCCCTATCAAGCCAAATTAGAGAGACGACATGGATAATGACGGGCGACGTAACTTCATCTCCACGCTGTCTAAGGACCAGCCATTGGTGCTGATGTTGTGCCAGAAGATTCCTTTCACCATCTCTTTGCTTGCCCATATCCCATTCAAATGGACCATAAAACAACCATCAAACCACCAGCCGCTGCTGTACTGGTCCATATCCCATTCAAATGGACCATAAAACAACCATCAAACCACCAGCCGCTGCTGTACTGGTCCATATCCCATTCAAATGGACCATAAAACAACCATCAAACCACCAGCCGCTGCTGTACTGGTCCATATCCCATTCAAATGGACCATAAAACAACCATCAAACCACCAGCCGCTGCTGTACTGGTCCATATCCCATTCAAATGGACCATAAAACAACCATCAAACCACCAGCTGCTGCTGTACTGGTCCATATCCCATTCAAATGGACCATAAAACAACCATCAAACCACCAGCTGCTGCTGTACTGGTCCATATCCCATTCAAATGGACCATAAAACAACCATCGAACCACCAGCCGCTACTGTACTGGCCCATATCCCATTCAAATGGACCATAAAACAACCATCGAACCCATGTCTTTACTTGCCCATATCCCATTCAAATGGACCATAAAACAACCATCGAACCACCAGCCGCTGCTGTACTGGTCAGCACAGTTGTGAGAAGCCCTGTCGTTGTCCCGGTCGCGGGTGGAGAAGGCGATGTTGTTGTGGTACTCGAAGCTGTCGCTGGCGTTGGCGTCCTTGGACACGAACTTGATGCGATAGAGCTCAGCCTCGCTGCCCACCGTCACGTGACTGTACACGGCGTAGTAGAGCGTGTCGTCCTTTTTCATGTCGATCCTCAACTCACTGTAGCCCTGGAGATACAGAAGATAACTGTACAACAGTAGTTTATAGCCCTAAAGATACAGTAGATAAACTGTACAACAGTAGTTTATAGCCCTAAAGATACAGTAGATAAACAGTACAACAGTAGTTTATAGCCCTAAAGATACAGTAGATAAACTGTACAACAGTAGTTTAAAGACCTGGAGATACAGAAGGATAGTAGAATAGTAGACACTGTCAAATAGTAGTTCAGTGTTAAGTACCTTGACAATTACCTTGACTATTATCTTAACAATTGCCTTGACAACTACCTTGATAAATACCTTTATAATTTTCTCGAAAATTATATTGACAATTACTTTAATTATTACCACAGCCAAGCTAAAAACTTGCATTATAAAATACTATCTCAATTATTATATGGATGTTTTCTACTGACGGACAGAGAAGGAGCTAGGCATGTTTATATTTCTACACTTCGTGTTATATTTGTTCTACTGGATTATTCGTGGTAAAATAAATTCATATTTTTTTGTACGCCATTCATGTACATGAAAACTAGAACAATATTAGACTGTAAAACTGTTTAAATTAATTTAGCTTAAAAAAACGGTAACGTTCTACCGTGATGATGCATGTATTATCTTCTACCCTACAATAGGCTGGCACCCTCACCATTACAGTATTATAAAACGAAGCAGTTAGCTAGAGTGACGTTCCCTCCGTTATTTTATTTTTTTATACTCTCTTCTTAACATGTAATGTCTAAACATAAACAAATCAAACAGGTTGACAAATATTTGAAAATAAAATGTAACTTTCAAAATGTCTAACAAATGAGCCCACCATCATGGTTAGCAATGCGATCCAGTCATTTCCAATCCAAAAGTCGCCCGAAATAGAACCAAATCCTTGCTTATATTGTCTCCAAGATTTGTCGAAGTCTACGTCACCAATCACACGCCTCTGGAATGGAAACTTCAAGTAAACTTTACAACAGGTCCATAATATTTTTACTGACATAAACTCTGTAGAATTACTAACTTTACAACAGGTCCATAATATCATTACTGACACAATCTCTGTAGAATTACTAACTTTACAACTGGGTCCATAATATTTTTACTGACACAATCTCTGTAGAATTACTAACTTTACAACAGGTCCATAATATCATTACTGACACAATCTCTGTAGAATTACTAACTTTACAACTGGGTCCATAATATTATTACTGACACAATCTCTGCAGAATTACTAACATTACAACTGGGTCAATAATATTTTTCTGCAGAATTACTAACCTAGACGCTGTGAGGATGTGCTAACCTACACCCTCTACAGATGTGCTAACCTACACGCTTTGAACCAGGATAATGTACAATAAACTTTTAAAATACCGACAGTTTAATCATGGCCTAGAAAGCAAATAGCACCTGAATGAGTATCCACCCCCCACCATCAGTTTTAGTATCACACAAAGTAAACTTGTCTTGACTTAGTTGAGCTGGCACTCTATGTGACACCGGCACGGCACCATGCCAGAAGTGTCCAACAGATTTCAACCAATCACAGCCTGGGGAAGAATTACGTCACCTTTGCCCTTATAACCCATCGACGTCATCAACAGGCGCCAGGTCCGTTCTAGACTGCTCAAGTGTGTATCATAACCAGTGCAATAACAGTAACAATAGTTTTAATAACAGAAACAATAGTTGTAATAACAGTAACAATAGTTGTAATAACAGTAACAATAGTTGAAAAAACAGTAACAATAGTTGCAATAACAGTAACAATAGTTGTAATAACAGTAACAATAATTGTAATAACAGTAATAACAATAATAATTTTTTACAATTTAAATTTTTTTTTTTAAAACAAGAAAAAGAGTTATCTTTTACATTTAAGTAGATATTATAATAATATAGTTAAAAGCCATTCTCTAGTTACAGCTAATATTATTGCAATGCCAAAGCTAGACAAAAGTACGTAATAAAGTCCCAGAAAAAAACAGTTACGTCTATGTTATCTCTACATTATCACACACACACACGTTCCCCCACTCCCACCCCACTCACCCCCCCCCCCCCCTCGCCCTTTCAGTGTTTCCTATCCGGCTAGACGAGAACAGCACACTTCAAGTTCTAGAGGTCAAGGACGACTCACCGGTCACCTTCACCTTCTTGACATGGATCTCCAGTGACGTCACATTGAGATTTTCTCTGGAACATTCCACGGCCAACACGAGCTGTGCTGGTCTGGTGCTGGGCCACGTGACCATCTGTTTGGACACTGACGTCACCCACGAGTCAAGATTAGACAGGTAGAACAAAGGACTTCACAGTTCACTCTTAACGTGTAGCTACTGGCATAAAAAGATGCTGCCCAACGCATTTTCTGTGAAAACAAAATTACATAATGATATTGCTGTAAGGCAAAGAGTTATATGTATATGTATATGTATATATATATATACATATATATATATATATATATATATATATATATATATATATATATATATATATATATATATATATATATAATACATATATGTATGTATATATATATATATGTATGTGCATGTATATTATATATATATATATATATATATATATATATATATATATATATATATATATATATATATATATATATATATAATACATATATGTATGTATATATATATGTATGTGCATGTATATTATATATATATATATATATATATATATATATATATATATATATATATATATATATATATATATATATATATATATATATAAATATATATATATATATATATATATATATATATATATATATATATATATATATATATATACAAGAGAGAAGGTAAAACTAAAACCAAATGTTTGTTAGCCCCCCCTCACCCTTCCAATACATGTTTCCTACTTCTGTGTCACAGGGTCTGGCGCCTGCTAGGGCTGGTCTACACCAACAGGTCATTGACCCTCTACAACAACGGTCAACTCGAGGGATGTCTGCAGGCAGAGATGAGGAACTTGAGCAGTTTCATCTTCAGGGGTCATGGGGGTCTCACACGTAGGTTTTAGTGGGGTTGGGGTCGTTTAGTGAAACTTTCATCTTCAGGGGTCATGGGGGTCTCACACGTAGGTTTTAGGGGGGTTGGGGTCGTTTAGTGAAACTTTCATCTTCAGCGGTCATGGGGGTCTCACACGTAGGTTTTAGGGGGGTTGGGGTCGTTTAGTGAAACTTTCATCTTCAGCGGTCATGGGGGTCTCACACGTAGGTTTTAGGGGGGTTGGGGTCGTTTAGTGAAACTTTCATCTTCAGGGGTCATGGGGGTCTCACATGTAGGTTTAAGGGGGGGGGGGGGGGTTGGGGTCGTTTAGTGAAACTTTCATCTTCAGGGATCATGGGGATCTCACATGTAGGTTTTAGGGGGGGGGGGGGTTGGGGTCGTTTAGTGGAAATTTCAGCTTCAGGGGTCATGGGGGTCTCACACGAAAGTTTTAGGGGTAGGGGTCATTTAGTAAAAAAAAGTGTATAAAAAGTTTCCTAACGTTAAAAAATGTGTGGGAAAAGTTGTAAATCAGTGGACATCCCGAAATGCCCAGTAAAGTGTGACGTCACCTTTGAACATGTTCCAATCTACAGACGTGTGGGTGAGTGCTGTACGACTGACACCCACTGAGTTCACAGATCTGCAAATTTTGGAGTTGGCTAGTTCGTGCCTGGCTGAGGGGGAAGGTAAACATTCTAGCGGTCAGCTCGTTCTACGTCAGCAATTGTTACAGTATTGTTACGTTCTTGTGGGATAAAATTACAAAAATGAAATTTTTGAGTTCATCTGTAATGGCTGACGTGAGTGTGACGTAGGTGTGACGTGAGTGTGACGTAGGTGTGACGTGATTATGACGTGGTTGTGACGTGAGTGTGATGTGGATGTGACGTGAGTGTGACGTGAGTGTGACGTGAGTATGAAGTGAATGTGACGTGAGTATGAAGTGAGTGTGACGACGTTATTTTTTTCAGCTCCTGAGAGCCGACGCTTGTTTTTTGACACGCATGACAGTGGTCAGCTCTTGACAGCTGGCCAGAGTCTCGTCACAACTGGCCAAACTGTGACAACAAGTGGCCAGCCTCTGACAACAACTGGCCAGCCTGTGACAACAAGTGGCCAGCCTGTGACAACAAGTGGCCAGCCTGTGACAACGAATGGCCAACCTCTGACCACTGAAGTCACGACACCTGATGAGGTTATAGATCTGGAGACAGCTAACGCTATAGGTGAGCGAGGATATGCTGATGCTGACCCTGGTACTGAACGTTTTGCTGAACTGGCTTCGGACAATCTGTTGACTGTATGAGCTCAGTGTTGTAACCACATGAGACTCTGATAACATGTGTCATGTGTGTACACTTCTGCAAACAACATCAACAACCCCCCCCCCCCCCCCCACTCCACATGTATTTCAACTTATTTTAGACAAAGGTGTGCGCGATGCTCGCTGTAAGAAGGAACTGATTTAGGTTCTTTGTACTATGCGCCAGTGTAATGTATTGCATACACGGGCCTTGTCTAAGCTGTTCATGTCTACCCACTTGAAGTATAACAACAACACTGAGTTGTGAATATATATATATATATATATATATATATATATATATATATATATATATATATATATATATATATATATATATATAATATATATATATATATATATATATATAATCATGGTGCCACACTGTCATCTCAACCCGTGGATTGCCATCAAATCTTTCATCGTTATGGCCAACAAGACAGTATCTTGTGTTGCATATTGTATGTCTGCATAATATGTTAAATGACCGCCACTAAATAAAAAAATACCTTGAATGTGTGTTATTTTATGTTAATCCAACGTATTTCCGGACATTAATGTTTTAGGTAACATACCGACATTACAGAAAAAGTCAACAAAAATGTGGGTTTTTTTTCTTATCGCAACACAGAATGGTAATTTAAACAAACGAACCTCAATTTGATAATGTAGATGTTTAATAATGCCACTGATTAAAATATAGCCATTCATCGTTTACCTAAGTATATCAGCCTGGTGAATTCATTTGATGTTGAATGTAAAGATCTACACTGCAACACAATTTAATTTGCTGCGCAATTTAATTAGTTACACAAGTTAATTAGCTACACAAGTTAATTAGCACGTCTCCGAAACTTAAACTCAATCCTGCTGACTGAGTTAGAACCAGTGAAGCTAGCCCACCTCATGCCCTGATCTGAGTGGGTGTTCCAGAGACCGTTGGGGTTAACATGATGACAGCCAGCGTTGTGGTACCACCAGCCGCCCACCCAAGCTTTAACACATTGACCTGGACTTTCCCTATCGTGTGTGTAGAACTCCATGTCCTTGTGGTTGTACAAATCATTGTAAGATCCAGCAGTTAGAAGACCAAGCCGGAGTTTGTACCACGAGCTCTCGTCCTCCACCCTAAAACTGTCGTACTGAATCACGTGATCTCCGTTGTTGTAATTCATCTCTATCCTCAGGTCAAAGAGACCCTGCCATTGGAGAAAGGGGTAGAGGAATGTGAGTTCGCGCAAGGCATGGGAATAAATCTGTAAGTAAACTCACTCTTCATTATTATCTATAGGATTAGGTTTCAAAAGTAGATCATGGCTTATAAGCTTATTCAAAAAATCAGGTGGTATTTATGCTAATTAGAAACATTTATCTTAGTTAACTTACCTTAGACGTTAAGTTAGAGACGAGCTCGTTACCCAGCCAGAAATCTCCGTTGTAGGATCCGAACCCGTGCTTGTAGTCATACCAGTTTCGTTGAAAGCTGACGTCACCAATTAGTCGACGCTAAAAATACATTTCATAGTGTTCCTAGTGTATGGTGGTTTTTAGAAAATTGTCTAATATCTCCTAAAATCTGCTTTTGTCTTAGATGAACCATTTTTATATATGCTCTGTTACTTCAATTTTTTGTCAAAAAAACTTATGCTTAACAGCACTGAAAACGAAGAAATTAAACTTTATTTCATAAAAGCTTTGATCGCTAAAATAAGAAAGAAATATCATCAACAGCCAAAGCCTTAATTAAAGAAAGCAATGCGGTATTTTTCACTACATTTAAAAGTTTATTATTATAAAAGTTTTTATATTTGTTTAATTTCATTTTACAACAATGACATTGTTAATGTTAGGGTTAGGGTTTTATTTTCGTCGAATTCACACATTTTACCGACCAATTCTCTTAGCAATTTTCTGAATTTCAGTGCATTTTCGGTTTGGCTCAGTGATTGAGAATAGAAACAAATTTTTCTTTGAGTGAATATTTAAACAAGTCGTAGAAGAATAACTGTCATGGGCAATATAGTTCTACTTTCACATCTTTTGGTCGGGTATTACGTACCTCTACCACTGGTAAAGATAACGCAATACCCGGATTCTTTTTGGATGGTCCTAGACTGAGGACTTACGAAACTAAAAGATTACTAGACAACAAAAACTCTCCATGGACTCGAATATAATGTCTAGGGTAAAAACACACACGAAGACCTTCTGCAACTAATAATACTTTTAATCAATTTACAACCTTCTAATATGTATACAAGTCTAAATAATAAATAGCTATGTAAAACAATAGAAATATACAAATGAAATACCCAACTTACGATCCAAAGAATAACACAATGAAACTACTAACACTGGATATGGTATCTAAGTAATAAACACAACCTACACGTTATTAAATTGAGACACAGAAAAATACTAAGTACAATGGTACTTAAAGATAATAGCTGCTTAAACTAGAAAATACAACATGGGGGTCGTACGTGGCTCTCTCTCCTGTGGATATATAGTGGGCTGTCCGCGTGTGTGGAATATTCCGGCCTTATATACCACTCTGAAATTATGGGATGCCGATCTCAATGACGTGGACCATTGGGGAGGAAGGAGCCACAGCACGGGTCACACTCAGCGGTGAATACTATCACATGAGCGTGATGGACAATTACTTGTTTTAACCACAGACCACTCAAAGCCATTTGAAAAATTAATATAATTAATAATAAATAAAAAGAAGACCTAAGTAGGTCACACGGGAAATATATTTACCTGATAGTCTAAGTTACGATGATCATCTCAAACTCGCACCTGCCTCCACCTACCTGCATGACGATCCACCCCCCTCCGTCTGTTTCAGTGTCACACATGACGACCCTCCCGTTCTCAAGGACAACCAAGGTCATCTTTGGGTAACAGGGGTCCATGTTCCGCTCACATTTGATCTAGTGGCCAAACATACCAATACAAATATTGAAAGATATAGGCCTACCTGCGTTACAACTTCAACAAAGCAATGTGAATCACATTAAAAAAGAAAAGTTAAACCAAAGCATACATAATAAACCTCACATACTACACACAATAATTCCAGCCACCCTGATTAATAACTAATTAATTAAGATATGAATGAAGTAAAGTGTAACTAGCAACAAAATTGCCTGACACAGCCTCTACTCACTCGCTTAGGTTGTGAAATAAACTCAGCGTACGAGAAAGGCCAATAGATGAAGCTACCGGTCTGGTTGTGACTCTCGTTTTTGGAAATGTCGAGTTGTTGATGCAGGAGTTGAAACATGTTTTCAACGTCTAAAACTCTCATCTCGAGCTTGTGGGTTAAGTTTTGTACAAGTGTTTGTTGCGCCTCGAGAATCTTTAAAAACCTTTTCTTCAGGTCAGTTGCACTCTCAGAATCGTTCATCAGTGCTGACGTATCTATATCAATCAGCTGAGTTGATCTTCGTTGGCGATCATTTCTTTTGAGAGCTGGGGTTAAGTCTCTTGATTTTTCTGGGGTTATCGGAATTGTGGAAGGGGGGACAACTTTTTCCCTGACACCAATCTGTCCCTTGTCGTCAGCAAACATCACCTGACAAACAAACGCCGTGTCCTGACAATATGACGTCACTGACATCAACACCTCCATGTCTGCTGATGTTTTACCAATTGACCCATTGACCTTGACCCCGGTGTGACCCTGATGACGTAGTTGACCGTCCACCTCTGTGAGTGAAGCCAGCAGCATCCTGTCACGTGACTCTCTGTAGATCGATATGTTGACCAGTGAATACGTCACAGGGTCAGTGTCCAGGTTTTCTTGACAAGACAACCTGGCACAGAAGGCGCCAGGAACTCTGGGAGACGTTCGGTCAATCTGGAACTCGAGACCTGGATTAACGGTATTGTAGATAAGGGATTCACATTCATAATTGAAAATAATGTATTTATTGCATGGAACTATTGGACACATAAAATAAAGTTGGCAGACGTCCCTAGCAGATTTGCGAGAAGGGATTTAGAAATATCAGTGTTAAACGATGGTCGATAAACTGGGACGAGAAATTTAATTAATACGGTAAGACTGAGTGCTGGGTACACGTCTTTTACGGGGATAAAATTCTATTAGCTTTCCACCTGATTACCTGACCATCTAGCCAGCTGACCCGCTGACCACCTGACTAGGGGTCATAGAGCTGAATTTCCCAGAGATTTATAAAGCTCATAATGTACTACTTACTGTTGTTAGAAAACTAGGCTCCTATAAATGTTATGTGAATACTCACTGTCTTATCTAATTTTGATAATCTAAAACCTGATTACAACGATTGTTTTTTTAAACGAATAGGCGAAGTCCATTAAATGTTTAAGGATAAAATACCAGTATAAAATACTATTTTTATCAACTTGTTAATTAAAATAAGAATTTTTCTTTATCTTACAAGCTCTCTGCGAAATTTGGTAAGAGTATTTTCAATCATCTCGGAAACACCCAAAGCTTACAATCGGCTTTACAAATTACACAGATGTTATTTTCGAATTTCATGACCTACTTTTCTTTACTTTTTGCTGTTTTTCTCAGTTCGCAGGTTTTGTATTTATTAAACAATGCCCACAATATTTTCAGCAATTGTTTTTCATGTAGAAATAAATTTTTGTCACGAAGGAATTGTGATAGCTTTCATAAAAAAAGGTTTATGGTAATAAAATGCAAATTTTGTAACTTTTTAATACTAAAAAGTGTACAATTTTTTAGACCTTGTAAAATTCTTACTAGTAGCTATTTCAAAAATGTTTCGTGGCAAAAGTTTTAATATATACTATTATTATTCTTAAATATATACTGAAATATAAGCAGTTTAAATTCCATTGCCATGAGTGCATACATAGAAAAGCCTTAGCATATTTTAAAGTACCGAAAAATTCAAAATGGCTAAGGTTTTTTTGGGTTTCCTTGACAACATCAATTGTTTTCAACCCATATTTTTGCTGTTTAATATTTACTTTCATGTGCCAAACATAGTAATCAAAAGGCTTTAGGTCAGAAATTGTAAAAAAATAATAGAAAAAAAAAAACGAGCATAACCCCTTAAACTATCACTGCCATCAGCAAAAAAATAAACCGGAAGTGATCTCCCCTAATCTTTCTCGAATATTCTCATATAACACTACGGGGGATGGCAACTCGGGATAAAGACAATACTTTAAATCCATTTTTAATTACTTAAACTTTTTAAAATAGAATAGAATCTCGTAGAAAAAATAATTGTGCACCAAGTGAACGCCAAACAATCTATGCATAATAGTGCGGAATATTATTAGTAATTTTTAAATTCACAAGCGTATTTTGAGAAATCGGAAATAGCCTAAAATATTACTTCCGGTCAACGGAAGTTACTCAAAATTTGACAGAAGGCAAAGAATTACTCAAAATTTGATAGAAGACAGAGAATTATATCTTTTAATTATATGTGAAATATCATTTATCTATATATATATATATATATATATATATATATATATATATATATATATATATATATATATATATATATATATATATATATATATATATATATATATATATATATATAATTCTCTTCATGGAGACCATAGAAAACACCACGCAGCTTAGCCACCACCCTCATCCCCACCTGTCAAGTGAGCTGTGGTTCACCCCGAATGTTTACAATCGTAGAGCCAGGTTAGTGACGGCTATTAGGACAGATAATTTAGTATTAAACGATTTGAAACGAAGGGGAGGTAACAATTTCTGATTTATCTTTTCTTTGTCTGTAAACGGCTGCTTTTACTGGGCGGGAGGGGGGAGGGAGGGGGTAGTGTTGAATTCACAAATTATGAATTGCTGATAAGCAGAAAATAAAACAACTAGATGGCGGCGTATACTACGTCGCGGGTCAGCTCGTCTGAAATTGTACTCAAGTTATAGGCTTTTGAAAAATTGAATGTAGAAAAAGTTCCACTTCCGGTTATCGGAAATCGGAAATCGCTGAAAAGTTGATACGGATCTACAAATTTAATATAATACTTATGTATGACATTTCATCAACCTAGCTATATTGGTACTCAAGTTCTTGTGTTTACAGACACACACATACACAAACACGCACACACACACACACATACGCACAGACATACGGACAATATTACAAATCTATGTTTTTCCGACTCATGTAGGTGTAAAACGTCGAGATTTGCAAAAATCTCCATTTTTTTTTTTTGCACGATTGCCATATTTTCTTTATACTTCGTATATACGAGAAAGTAAAAAAAAAACTCACATTCAATTGGAATACAAGCCACTACGAACACACACAAGTAAGTCAGAGGTCGTATCATGACGTCACTAATAATTGATCACTGTCTACAAATGACGTAGGCTTTTTAACGTCTGCTGCGCGGTACCAAAGTTGTTTCCATGTCATGAATGGGGAAGCAGTTTAAATATTCAGCACCTGTACAGCTAATCTGTAATTATTATTTTTTGGGTTGGCTGGGTGGAAGGGGGAGGGGGGATAATGGTGTCTTAAAACTATGTCGACCTGTCTAAAATAAAAAATGGAGCAAGGTCAAGAACACTGAAATTAAAAACACAGAAAAAATATTGGGGGTGGGAAGGGGTGTGAGGCAAGAAGTTAGGTAATGTTAACAACTATGTTAACAGCAAATGATAAAAATTATTTTAGGTTATCTTATGTTTAAATTTTTTTTTTAAATATTTCACAATATTTTTTTTTCAAGCCTGGGTTTACCCTAAAGTGGGTTACTTTAACTTTAAACCTCTTTAATTACCATAATGGACCATAAACAAACAAAGTTTTATAATTACAACTTTCTAGAAAGCAAGTTATATAGGTATAAAATATATATGTTTATCCTAAACCAGTGTAAAAATATAACTAACTAGCCGTCCCGGCCAGGCACTGCTCTGGCTTCTGTGAAAAACCTTTCTGTTAAAGACCATTACCTGTGTGTTTAGTAATCATCATAAACCCGGCATTGCCCACCCAAACCACAACCAACCAAAACAACAAAACGCAAACATAACGCTAACACAATTACAAATACAAACGAAAACAAAAACCTAACAACAAACCCAACCACAACCACAAACACCAATACAAACACAAAGAAAAAACAAACAAAAAAGCAAAAGAAAACAAAAACCTAACAACAAACCCAACCACAAACACCAATACCAACAAAAAAAAAACAACGAAAAAGCAAACGAAAACAAACCAAATCCAAACGCACAACCAACCAAAAACACAAATACAAACCCAAACAAAAAAACACAAACAAAAACGAAAAAAGAAAGAACAAAAACGAACCAAATCAAAACGCAACCACTAACGCAAACCCACCTAAACACAAAGAAAACACTAACGCGAACATAAACGCCCGGGGCGGAATCACCTGTTTTAGCTTAATGAACGACTATAGTACACCAACTTATTCATAGTCTTTTGCACTCACTTAAACGAACGCGCCTGTTTCAATTTAATGAACAATTTTAATACTCCAAGCTTATCCGTAAAATACCTACAACATTTGCACTTGATCAATCCCCGCTAATTATGTAATTATTTTTTTCCCAACACCAAAACAAAGTAATAAAAAGTAAATTATTTTCTACTAATGCAATGGTTTCATAAAGGGAAGTAATTGTGTTTTCCTAATTTATCAAAGGGAAGTAAGTGCTATAGGACTAAATAAAGACATAATTAGAATTTTTGTAAAAGATGATATTTTTTTAAAACTTGTGTTTAATGAACATGCCGACAATTATTACTATAATTTGAAAAATGAAAACTATTTCCCAACACTTTCAATAGTAATTTTTTAACTCATAAATTTAGACAAATGCGCACGATAATTGTCTAACACTTAAATCCATCCAAGACCAACGACAAACATATGCGTTACATACAGAACTGAGCTTTATATATTAGATTCGAATACTTTTTAAAATTATTAAAACAATCGAAAAATCTCAAAGAGTTGGTTGCAAATATACAACAGATCATTAAGATACCCACACTCATCAAACATACCCACACACAACAAAGAAAAAGCACACTCAACAAAGACACCCCTCACACAACAAAGATACCCCTCACTCAACAAAGATACCCCTCACACAACAAAGATACCCCTCACACAACAAAGATACCCCTCACACAACAAAGATACCCCTCACACAACACAGATACCCCTCACACAACAAAGATACCCCTCACACAACAAAGATACCCCTCAAACAACAAAGATACCCCCCACACAACAAAGATACCCCTCACACAACAAAGATACCCCTCACACAACAAAGATACCACATATCCTATGAACGTGTCAATTATTTACGCTGTGAAACAAATTCAATAAACCGGAAGTGATCTCCCCTAAACTTTCTCGAATATTCTTATATAAAACAACAGTGGATGGGAACTCGAGATATAGTTATGATTTTTAATCCATTTTAAATAACTTTTTAAAATAGAATAGAATCTCATAGAAAAAAGAATTACGCACCAAGCGAACGCCAAAACAAAATGTGCATAATAGTGCGGAATATTATTAGTACTTTATACATTTACAAGCGTTTTTTTGAGAAATCGGAAATAGCGTAAATTACTACTTCCGGTCAACGGAAATTACTAAAAATTTGATAGAAGGTAGAGGATTAGATCTTTTACTTACATGTGAAATTTCATTTATCTATCTGAAATATGACTCAAGTTATAGGCTTTTGAAAAATTCAAAGTGGAAAAAGTACCACTTTCGGTTATCGAAAATCGCTCAAAAGTTGATACGGATCTACGATTTTGATAAAATACTTATATATGAAATTTTATCAACCTATCTGTAACGGTACTCAAGTTATCGTGTTTACACACACAGACACACACACACACACAGACATACGGACAAGATTGCAAAATTATGTTTTTCCGTATCAGTGAGGTGTAAAACTTGTAAAAATCTAGATTTTTTTTTCACGATTACAAGACTTTATACTTCGTATATACGAGAAAGTAAAAAATGAAAATGGCTGCTTGATAAAATAAAGCGGGAGTGGTCTCCCCTAAACCTTCTCGAATATTCTTATATAACACTACGGGAGATGGCAAATCGGGATATAGACAATATTTTTAATCCATTTTTTAATGATTTAAACTTTTCAAAAATAGAATAGCCTCTCGTAGAAAAATGATTTGCGCACCAAGTTATTGGCAAACGATATGTGTATAATAGTGCGGAATACTAGTACTTTATAATTTAATATGCGTTTTTTTTTTGTTGTTTTTTTTTTTTTTTTTTTGGTTTTTTTTTTGGGAAAATCGGAAATTGCTTAAATTACTACTTCCGGTCAATGGAAATTACTCAACATTTGCAAGAAAGCAGACAGTTAGGTAATTTACTTTTTTTTAAAATTTCGTTTATCTATATGAAACAGTACAAGTTATAGACTTTTGATAAACTAAAAGTAGAATAATTTTTACTTACGGTTACTGGAAATCGCTGAAAGGTTCATACAGAACTACAAATTTAATATAATACTTTTATATGAAATTTCATCAACCTTGCTGTAACGGTATTCAAGTTATCGTGTTCACAGACACACATACACAATACACACACACGGGCAGAATTGCAAAGTCCAGTTTTTCCGACTCGATTAAACGTAAAACGGCGAAATTTTGATAAATCTTTATTTAGAATTTTTGCCCGATTAAAATAAATACCCCCACTCAGTTGAAAATTGTCAAAATTTCATGTGATTTCTTGTGGACGATTACAATACTTTCTCTATACTCTGTATACGAGAAGTAAAAAACCATTCATTTCTAACCGATGTTAAACTTATGTTTTTTAAGATATTAAGTTTGATATAAAGTTATAACGAGACCTGAGTTATGCTTGTGACGCAGGCTGCAGTTGTTTCGCTATTAGCCCAGCTTCTAACAACAGATACTATCGCCCTGTTATGGTCCAGTAGCGTGTCATAGACTTAAGAAGTTTTACAGTAAAGTTTAGCTGTAAAACCTTTACATGGTTTACGAATTCTAAGTTTCGTACATTCCAACTGGTAGCTTTAAAACGATAGTTTTGACAACCACTTTTCACAAAGACTTGAGTCATTCAACCAGTTATTGGTGAGGGATTTGTTTACATTAATTAAGCCAGGTCACTATATTTGTATAAAGACACAGAGGTATGGCGGAGAACGTTGAAGATTTGTTTGCTATTTAGTCGAGAGAAAACTTGGTGATAAAGCGTAGAATCTTTGACAAAATTTAACTGGGTAAATTGGTGTAAGGCGCATGCCCCAAGACTTTAGCTTGTCAAATTAGTGCATTTCAAGCTAATTGTTATAAGCTTTTTTTAGCGCAATTTCCATACTGGACAATTGCGATTATTAACTCGTTATTTCTGGATGGATGGATGGATGTGCGCAGCTTTAAGTCGTATCTCCTCCTCAACAAAGCAATATCGAGGACTAGTTCCAAAGCAAATATGTTAAGCAAGTTCTGAGGATGATTGTGGGCCAAAACCATTCCCGGAATTCCTTCCTGGATTTCCCGGAAAAGCCAAAAAAACCTCGGAAAAAAGGGATTTTTTTGCCACTTAGCGACTTGAAACATGTACCAATCGATTCCTGCCATCATTTAGAACAATATTGCAGAAGAAAGTTTTCAAAAATATTCTTTCGTTTGGTCACAAAAAATTAATTAAGGAAATTGCGCTTAAATTGTCACTAGACTTTTTATTAACTTGTTTTTATTTCTTTTTTTTTTTTTATTTTTAGTAGTTCGTTGTAAATGAAATTGACAGCACATACGACATAAAATACACACGCTAAAATCCCAATCATTAGCTTGCCATTCTAAAAGACAACCATATCCCCTTAATCCATGATCAACACTTAGGCCAGAAATCAGCCAAACTTGACCAAAAGGCTCACCGCCTACAGACGGCTGATATAGTGATCGCTAGAATTAATTACTCTTGTTATCTCTCCATGTATGATTAAATATAATCAATTTTAAATCAATTTTAAATGCCTAACCTTGTGTCTAATTAGAGTTAACAATTAATTCATTTGCATTGCTATTGGAGATGAATGCATCTGGTTAGTTTGAATAAAATCGCTGCATTAGAAGTGGATTAAAATTGAGTTACAAGGTATGCCACAATACAAAAATAAAACAAAACAGACATTGTAAACTAAATAGTTTTAATAAAAAGTCGACAAAATATCTTTTTATTGTTTAAAATCATGTTAGGTAAGTTCATGATATAAACCAAAGCTTTGAACACCTGTTCAGATGTGCAGGCGACATTCTGAGGTACTGATAACAATTAAAAATTTTATTTTTTACGTCGAGGTTCTAGTTTGATTTAAGTCTTTG